TCTGCTGGGACAGCGCACACTGCTTCTGCTCACATTCTATTGGCCAGAGCCATCCCATGGACAAGCCTGATGTCAATGAGGTAGGGGGGTGCACCCCTACCACAGGAGCTGCATCGTATGGCAATGGCGAGGGAGGCATGTTCCCCCAGTGGAGAGAGAAGAAAATAATTGGGTCCAATAATACAATCTTCCACTACCAGTAACTGACTGTAAAACCTCAGGGATTTGCTCAACTTCCCTCTGCCTTGGTTACCTCGTCTGTGAAACAGGAATAACAGTACTACCTCTTAGGACTGTTAAGAGCATTAGCTTGTATATGTAAAGTCCTTAGAACAAGGCCCCACACAGAGTAAACACTATATAAATGTAGGTGGATGGGGGGGTGTTTAATAGGTTTGGAGTTTCAGTTTGGGAAGATGAAAAAGTTCTGGAGATGGATGGTGGTGGTGGTTGCACAACATTGTAAACGTCCTTCATGCCCCAGAACTGAACACTTAAAAATGGTTAAAATGGTAAATTTATATTATCTATATTTTACCACAATAAAGAAAACGGAGGTGGACGGGATCATCTGGGGAGAGAACAAAGAGCAGGGAAGGTGGTGGACAGAAAGAGGGAAACTTGGGAACAGTTACGAGGGCAAAAGCACTGAGAGAGGCATGGGAGACAGAGAAGGAACATTCGGGACAGAGGAGGAAAACCAGAAGAGAGTGATGTCCCCCAAGACACTGGAATCCTTTCCAGTAGGAGGGAGTGTTGCAGTGCCGCAGGGTGTCCATTTTGCTTGGCCTTGACCCTGAACCTTAGTCGACTGAGCCTCCTTCCTTTAGCACTTGGATTTGGCTGGGTCTGCTTTATTCTGCCAGCTCCTGATGATGTCACCTCCAGCCACCGCCCATACATGGCTCAGGCCGCCTCACTGCAAAATCCTGGCCAGGTCTCCTCTCCCCGCCTGCCAATCCCCAGCCAGTCCCACTGTGTCCATTGTTGACATCCTGGTGAAATAAATCTTTTTTAAATTAAAAATACATAGAATTTGAGACATTATTTCTTATGTCATTTTTATTACTATTGATGTATGTTTTTCTACCCTGAGAAATGAAAACCTTCAAACTTTGAGTTTAAACATTAGGGATGGTTAGTGTAGTGGATTGAATTGTTCTTCCAAAACTCATTGAAGCTTGAATTGGGCCCCTCAAGTTTTATGTATTAGAAACTTGGCCCCCACTGTGACTGTTAAGAGGGTGGGAAACCCTATCATGGTAATGAAAGGTGGATCCTTGAAGAGGTGATTAGATTGTAGGACCCTGTAGTAGTGGATGGATTAAAAATGGTGGTCAGGGGCGTGGTTCTGAGGGCTTTAAAAGAAGA